GCGTGAGGGTGCAAAGCTCGATGTCTGCCTTGTATGTAACGGAAGAATTGTTTGTCTTCAAGTTTTCAGTCACAATTTTCACGCCAGTATGAAAAAATTTAATCGATTTTACGGCGGTATATACACGTATATCTAAGTCAAAGCTATTGTGTGATTGCCGATGAACTCGAAATCATCATCTTAGTCCCAATGCTTGAGGGATAGATACTGAGTGGCGTGGCTTAACGATCCATTCAAGTGCTCGGCTCAATGAGATAGGGTCATCGTAGGCGTAGTTAAAGTCTAGCTGATGAGAATGATAGCTGGTGGACTCAAGAAGTCGATTGAATTCACGTTCCACTTGAAAAACAATAGGGCTGTTCAGGATCTTGTGGAAATGGTCTTGGATTTCCACATTCGTTGCGTTTGTAAATTCACAACAATAAAATGCACACGGTTGCCATGTCAGCAAGCAAAAAAATTTCAAAATGCAATTCCAACCGCAAATTCAAAACCATTTCCACAACACCCTGAACAGCCCTAATAATATTTATAAAATAATATAAATACTTATTACGTATTATTTCTGCTCACCATGTCGTCCTTATGCTTGGGCACAGGTTTTCCAAAAGCTCCACATAGCGGGCATGCTAGCCTAACCTGGACTATCTCCCTTTCAATTTGTTTGCTTAGTATAGTCATGCATTGCCCCAAACACCTGTTACTACCATAGCGCCTAAATCACCAATATAATTTCTCTTGCGAAAAGTACAATAACACAATGACATCCATACCGAATTGCTGCAGCTGTTGGGCAGCCGCTAACCCTGAGATGCCTGCTCCAATTACTATAACTTTGCCCAACTTCTTAGTAGGTATGGGACGTAAACGTTTAAAAATGCCAAAGTTAATAAAACCATGTCGATCCAGGAACGAATGTACGCACTTCACCAGGATCGCTATCGAATCGTTGATCCATATCTTTTATAGCGTTTTCTACAATAAGCTGCTGCTTTGGATTCTCGATTCACATTTGCAAAAGGGTAGTAATTGAGATTGTTTTCTCCATTTTACACATCACACTTTCATATTTCTATTGCTTTACGAAGTTTTTATATCTTTTACGCATATTGACAAATTGTTGGCATTGTTTTCAAATTGTCAACCCTTTCTTCCCCATCTTTTTTGTTTACCTTTTTTAGATGCGTATACGAACATTTTTTGCAATTTGCGTTCATGGTGCGCAAGCTCGTTATTGGCGTTACTGTAACCAATGCGCCACAGGGTCAATAATTAGTGTATCAGCGCCAGTAGCGCCACCGTCGGTATCAAAGCAATGAAGCAGCGCCGCGCTGCGTTGCCCATCACTAGTGTATAAATCCCCGCAGATAACACACACCAGGTAAGGTGCAGTAGCGACGTGTGTGACCAAATTCCTGGCAGTTGTGACATTGAACAGGGCCTCTACGCTTAAGGGGTTCTTCTACGGAGATTTTACAGTGTGGAAGATATCGCAATTGATATATTTGATGCACTTCACCTTTCCTTAGGTTATGAAAGTCAGGTTGTAGCTCTATTTTGAACATCGGTTGAGGGATGTTTTCTTTATTTTTAACTGGGTTCGTATTTGCACTCACATGTGCAGCACATCCTAACATTTTAAGCTCACACACGTGTGCTGTGCATATAAAAAATTAAAAATTTGCTCACATCACATGTGTGTGCCGTTTGGTAAAAAGCACGGGACATGTGTGTACTTTCTTTTTATTAATGTAAAGCACACGCACATGTGTGTGCTATGCGCAGAGAAACTTATACACTTCGAATTCTAACTCAAATCTTAAAATAATTTTTTAATATGTTTTCTGTCATATAAAAAACAAACAACATCTCACTTTTTATTGAATTGTCTTTCAAAAAATAACGTTTAATAAACAAATTCTTTTAAGAATATATTATGTGCATGTGCATGGGCTGAAATTTGTACAAAAATCGGCTCACACACATGTGCATGTGCTTAATAACAAACAGCACACACTTTTCTGTGAGTAGAGTTTGTTTTCCACTTATGCACACACATGTGTATGAGCAGTGAGTGCAAGTTGAATGTGTTTCTGGCGTGTGTGTGAGCAGAGCATGTGTGTGCAAATACGAACCCTGATTTTTAATGTTGATTATTATTATTATTAAAAACATTGCGCACCTTAAAACTTTCTTCCCTAAGAGCATTTTCTATCTCTTGTGAGTTCACACTGGACTCGATGCCTTTTATGACAACTGCGCTAGAACGACTACTTTTAAGTTAATAAGTGTAATACGATTTCTTACACTTATCAAACTCATTGATAATTTTACGAAAAGTATCTTCGTTTTGAGCCTGAGTTTTCACTTCGTGTATATTACCTTTTTAAATAGGAACCAGATAAAAATTATTTTCCCTACTAGTTTTAGGAGAGTACCTACCAGAGCATTGGAACTTTCTTCTCGTAGATAAATAGGTGCAGACTTGTGTTTTTTAACTACTTGTTGATTAGAATAATTATTCATATCAGCGAGAACACTAAAACGATTACTCTCCGCCGATGTACATAGATTTACCTGAAGTGACTACTTTCATAATTTTATTTTTTGGAGTTTGTTTTCCATATTTTCGGGTGTGCGCTTTCGCTTTATTAATATGTAGCGATCTAATCCAGTCTGAACAGTAGAATTTTTTGCTTTATTTTATTCTTATTTGTTTGTTGCTGTCTAAGTATTACAGGCTAACCTAATATTCGCGGCTTGCGTTTTGGTACGCACGCTTTCGAATTGTTTTTTTTTGCGTCAACCGAAATTGGCTTGCGTGCGTTTGCATTTGATTTCATTGAGCGAAACGTCAAATCAAAATGTCACACAGAACAAAAGTTGGAAATTGAGTTAGCTTCATACGTACGCCGTTCAATTTCGGTTGGTCCCATACAAGTTGTATGTCCATGAGAAAATTTTGACAGTAAACTGCCGGCGTGCGTGAATATTAGCAGGAAACAGCGTAAAAGGGCCAATTGGTTGAGAAAGGGCGCGCTAATAGCCTGGTAAGTAGCATCTGCGGCAATACATTACTTTTTATTAACTTCTAATGCGTACCTATTTCATGAAATACAATGCAAACTGTGTCAACATAAGACTAAATTGCAAAGGCATAAACCAAGCAATTTTACCTGAAATTGTGACGCCTGCAATCAGCATCAAATAAGGATATCGTTCCAACGAAACCCAATACTAACGCACAAAAAGGAGCAGCTGCAACAGCGAAACCACAATCAAATAATAAAGGTGCCAACAAAGCAGATTCTACAAAAAAGCAAGCAAAGTCCACTGCCAAACTAAGTCAGCCACTAAAACAGGCATGCCCAGCGCAGGGCACTTGCTTATGGCGTTCTACCAGCGTTGGGCATGACTGCGAAAGCACAATCAAGGATACAACAGCAAAATTAATTGTTAATGCAACCACGCACACCCGGCTCCGATTATCAGGGTCCAGCCATTAAGGTAAAGTGTAAAATACATTTACTTCTATGAAGCAACTAAAACAGAGTAGGGGTACGGCTTAGTTATTTGCACAACAATTTTGGGTTGCTGTGCGCAAACACACACTTGTAGACAAGAGTCTACGCTTTATTTAAAAACAAAAATTCATCTGTGCACTAATTTTTTAATAATTTTGGTTTCAAATATGGTATTTTTGGCAAATTTGCCAGCAGGCTATTCATAAAGCGCGGTTCATCCTCTTTCGTTTAGGGGGGTTTGGGGAGCCACGCCCCTCCCCCTCCGCCCCTCTTACCCTAAAATCGTTGTACAAATACCTAAACATTTCCCCAGCATAGAATTACAACTATTTAATTGTATTAAATTGAAATGTTTATGACAAGTTGAATTATCGTAGTTTTAGCAGTCCATATATAATAGATTCCATTTCTATTTATTTACCTGTGAATTGCAAGGATTAATATATAATATTCCAAGGTTTTAAACAATAAAACAAAGTTTTCTTAGTCAATATTTTTGTATTTTTGCGTTTTCTTTTGTGTGCTGTTTCAATAATTTCTGGGTTGAGTTTTCATATTTTAGCAAACACTCGTGTTCTTAAAAATATTTTTTTAATTTTTATGACACATTCAATATCAGACACTTGTTCTATGAGTTCTTTTATAAAATCATTCCTAATGAGTAGTGTTTCTCTATTAATAATAATAATAATAATAATAATAATAATAATAATAATAATACACACTATGTTAGTGTTTGGCCGAGCTTCTCCTCCGATTTGTGGCGTGCGCCTTGATGTTGTCACACAGAGCGGAGGGACCTACAGTTTTACGCCGACTCCGAACGGCGATCGTATTTTTATGAGAAGCTGTTTTTCATGGCAGAAATACACTCGCAGGTTTGCCATTGCCTGCCGAGGGACGACCGCTGTTAAGAAAAAACCTTTTTTCTACATTTTTTGCGATGCTGCTTTGACCAGGGTTTGAACCCAGGCGTTGCGGAGTGGAAACTCGCACTGCTTACCACTACACCACAGCGGCCGACACCATTAACTGCTACAAATATTGACTAAAGTTGGGCGCTTGGAAGTGATAAACCACCATCACTTAAGAGGTTCACCCATGAGAGTGATGGGTCGTCGCTAGTTTCGAAGGACGAGGTAGGAAATTCATCACGTAGTCTGTAACATATATATCCGGCTACATTTTCTAGACCGTCATATTCTGGATCAGTAAACTCCCTCAGTTCAATTTCTTCCAATGGAAGTATCATGGGTCGCAATATCGTACCTGTATAAAAAGTTTCGTACCTGTGTAAGTATGTTCATTATACTAGTTACAATACAAAAAATTTCAAATACCTGTAAGAGTAGGCTGAGATGGTTCTGGTATCATCAACCTCGACATTCCCTCCCGTAGAAATTGCGCCCTCATTGCACGCAAGAATGTATGTTCTGAGCCGATATTTAAATTCCTGTTGGTCGGGGTGGTCGTGCAAACCACCTTTAGCGCGTATAACTCCAAATAAATTTTCAAGTACATCCTGGTTTAAATGACACGTACCTAATCGTCGCTTAAGGCTGGAAAGCAACATTTTTACGGCTTAATTTGACTGTATAATTCCTAAAATTAATCACAAGCATATGTATATATAGATTATTTAAAATATGAGTCATAATTAAAACTGTGATATACCATTATACTGGTAATAGTCCATTTTTTCCAACGACTCTCATATTCCCCACCGGTTCTGACATTTCGTCCAATATTTGGTTTTGAACATCGATTGCAAGGCCATACCCGTGACGCCGCACCTTAGAATCAGCATGAGGTACCCTGACCACGTCGAACCAATCATTCGTCTAAAAAGTATAAGTGATTATTACACAGATATATGATTGCTCATACTACGTGTATAGCTTATACATTTTTAAACAATTGGAAGCACTCTTGCCAATTGTGTCCACTCAAGTGCCCCAAGCTTCCAGCTCTTGTGATTGCTTGCGCTAGCTATGTGGCCGTTTTGACTTTCTGCCTATGAGGTCCAGATACGTTGAGATGGCTAGCGGTGATCTTATGTGTGATGCTTAGGTCTATAGAGGTGCATGACATCAGCTCTAATATTATGTCCTTTTTACTATTTTTCCATCAACGACATATCCGTGGTCAAGGAATTGGTTTCTTAATTATTTAATTAAATGCGGAACGTCCGCGAACACAAAAATTTATTCGTCTTCGAAGGTAAAGCTGCAAAATATCTTGGTTTGATGTGTGTAAATAAAGAAACGAAACATTTTACCAACCACCCAACTCGTTGAACAAAGCTCTATTGAGCTCTATTATTATTATTATTATTATTATTAACACTTAACTCCTTACGACTA